CAATTATCATGTTCGTACAATTATCATGTTTAAACGTACAATTATCATGTTCATACAATTATCATGTTTAAACGTACAATTATCATTATCCCAGGTAAGATTTTCAGACTGGATATGAGCTGAGAAGTTAAGAATAACGTTGTTGACTTTCGCTTTATACCTACAGCTTGCATAAATTTAGGAAGTTTAAAAAGTGTCTTTGTTGGAATTAAATTGGGGAATGTATTAATAAATGCGTTTGTTCTAACGAAATTGCATATCAAAGCAGTTGATCGATTTGATACACAATCACACAGGTTACAAAGATATGATATTCGCTTGAAAATGCGTGCCAGCTGAAATATTTTACGCGGAGAAACGGTAGTCACATAGAAAAATTTTTCCGAATGAATTGTTCTCACAGAGCTTCGCCCCGTAATTTTAATATGTATCTACCCTAGTTAATCATTCCGATTAGTGTCGCGAAACTTTCATATATTGCATTGCCTTTTATTAGCACTTTGTATGGGAGCTTCAATTAAATGGTGCAATCTGATTATTTTATCAAGCTTTTATAAGATAAGGTTCTGAAGCTTTTTATAACGGGAAATAGCTATTACCCTTCTTCAAGCTTTAAAATTACCTGCAGGTATAATAAGTCTGAACTGGAGCACATCTAATGCAGGTTTCATAGCCTCGAGCTTTTAAGGTAAGAAGTGATGATTTCTGCTTGGGAATTGAGTTGGATAACAATCATCCAACAATCATCCAAGCACGTGCACGTGGATGAGTTGCTCGAGTGCTCCACGCCACGTGTTTAGAGTTTCGTATACACGTGTTTAGCAACACCGATGTTATGTCCTCCGAGTGTTCTTAAGCGGCGATCTCACAACACCATGCAAGATGTTTGGGGTTCAGAGAGTCTTTATTTACAACCACGGATGTGGTCAGAGATCAATGCTTGATTCAGCTGCGAATTCCATTTCTTGCGTTATTTCCTTTATGATTTCGTTCGTACTCATGATATTATATTGATTTTTTTAATGCACTCAATGTTCTGTTGATCGTATGATCAGTCACTCATTTTCTGACATTTTATTCACCTCCTCTCATCGATTGTTAATCAATTAAATAATTTTAATCGATATATGCTTGAAATTGAATTGATTCTGTACCGAAGTGCAATTCAGGAAATGCATTTCTCGCAATTACGTGTTAACAGTTAGCCAAGACGTAATAAATTGTTCACGTCTTCACGTGATGACGCGGCATTCTGTGCTGGCGCGACCTAGTGCCGCTCGCCCCTAGAGCGTGTGCCGGGGGCGACGCTGGCGCTGGATGCGCTCAGACGGCGGCTGCTCTGGGGTACGGAGTCCGAGTATCTATATCTCAATCATGCGCAATGTACACGTAGCTGCCTAAGTGCACGTAGTGACTAATTTATAATTTGTCACTGGTGGGTTTAGCTTGAGAAGCAGGTAGTGATTAACTGACGGAGTTACAAAGTACGGCATATTTTTGACTAACTATTTTTGGGCCGAAGTACATTTTTAGCGCATTTTCTCATTTATGGAAAAAATGCACTATTGTGCTCGCTATGTCCGTCTGTCTGTCCGTCCGTCTGTCCGTCCGTCCGTGACCAAGTTTTCGCCGACGAGAAAATGCGCTCTGTCACTCACTGCAGTGAGTAGTACTGAGTTATATTTTTTCATTTTACGGCCACAGGACACGCAATCCACTCATTGACGCGCATCCTCTTGTTCACGTTATACGGACGGATCATTGGTGGCCACTTTATGACGCCCTTCATTCCACCCATGCATAATTATTTGAAATGAACGATGCTTAACGGGTGAATATTATGTTAGTATAGACGATGAGCGTTATTTCTGTAACGGCCTTAAATTCTATTGTATGATGACCGTACATGCATACAAGTTCGTGTCTGAGAGTCCAGAACTGATGAATTGCAAATTACTGTTTAACTTATCGGGTCGTAAATATCTTATTAACTTTTTTAATTCGATTAATCATTGATATCTAATCTGCTATGTATTTAACCTCAGGGTGATTCAATTATATTATTTTCTTTTTCCATATCGATTGGAAATCTAGACCAGTAGAGTTACCTCCAATCACTATAGGAAAAAGATTGCATTTCCCAGACTTATTTTCATCGTTGACGGTATCAATAATCAATCAAAGACTGCGTTTCCTTTCGTGCGTAACATGTTAAGAAAATCTGCGGTTTGCCGTGCAGCTTTCAATAGGAAGATTTCGCACAGTAGGATCGATGTTTCGAGTCACGATGGATGAGTTAAGCCTTCGTGAAGCTATAGAAAGCCTCCATTACTTTCTCCAGGGCATCGGCCAATATTCTGGAGTATATAGTGTTCAAAATATCAGTATGCGTGGAGTTGTGTAAATATTGGTCAGCGCTCTGGGTGTTGACGTTCCGCTTCTTGCTTTTCCGTTGTCATTCTATTTTTTGTGCCTCTCTAGAGCCAAAATTACATAGTTTATAGATTTTACATCGTTTTTGTTATGTTATTCCATTTAAATGTAAGTCTTCAATATTAAATAGTTATTAAATTCTCATCGTCTCTGTACTGTTATTCGATTTCTATATATGCCTCTCTGAAATCAATGTTAGATATAATGTATTGACTTTACAACCTCTTTCTTATATTTTTTTTAAATGCACAACTGAAAGCGATATTGCTCAGTTTATGTGCTTTCCATCGCCTTGAATGTTTTACAAGTTTTTCATCGTCATGAATCTTTTAGAAGATTTTCGTCGCCATGAATGTTTTAGAAGTTTTTCGTCGCCATGAATGTTTTAGAAGTTTTTCATTGCCATGAATGTTTTAGAAGTCTGCAGGGTTTGAGATTACACAGAAAGCTTGGTCCTTAAAGCAAAAAGTCGTTCGCTGCTGCCCAGTTTTTCAATAATGTACGATATAGGGACTGCAAAAAACATTATGAGAAAGTTTTAGCGCAGAAGCTTATATTATTATTATTATTTTTGCAATAAAATATCCAATTGATATCACTTTCATGTCGCTCATATATACTGCTTGAGATTATTCTAGTTGAAGGAGTTAGACGACTTCTTGATTTTTCCAATGATAGTCTCATTGATTTAAAACATCTTTAATAGTAGTTATGATCATTAGTTATGATGCAGCATCAATACTTCTCAGCTCAAATTAATGGTTAACTTAGTTACTATTTCAACGAAAAGTTGACCAGAATACAGTCATGATTGTGTGACTACTGGAATTAAATTTAAGCCCAACATTGAATTTCTATACCTAAAAACTCGAATCACAATGCACGCTATTAAAATTTACCAACACTTCCTCGCAAAAGGGAAACTTTAGATGGATCTGTTCCGGCTTTCAAGCTATTCCAGTTTCCCCCTCGACGTCTACCGCTTTTTTTAGTGGTGAAATTTAGCGAATTGCTCCAACAGAAAGTCGTTCAAGCGCAACGTTGGGGCATCGCATCCGCTGCGGCTCGATATCCTGCTCAGCACTTGAGTAAATTTTCCAATCGATCAATGTCGCAAAATTTTATGCTGCAGCCATTTTCTGTATAGAGCTAATGCTATAGAAATATCCTAGCCGGCACTCGCCTCAACGATAGAAATATTTGCCGATGGTTCGGCATTCGTCATAGGAAATCAAAACTTGATGGAATAATTCCAACTTAAGGCTATCATGATCAACGCCGCATTTGGAATCTCGTATATTTTCGAGTATATTTTCGCGGTGTTAATCAAAGCTTACACTCAGAAAGATGAATACGTCATATTGTCCATGAAGTGACACACTTTCTTACCTAGAGCACGAGCAGAGAGCGAGCGTTTCTCTGATACGCCCATTCGTATGAGCCAAACTAGATCAGGATGACCCGCATAGTGGCAAAATATGCATCTTTTTTTTGGACAAACTATCATCGAATTTCTCTGAGTGCAGTCTCGGTACACGCTTGTTGCTCACAACTCCTCAGTTATTCAAGTTGCTCAACATAGAAAAGCAAGAGAGTGCGAACTTTTTTACTGCCTTGTCCGATGCATATAAATGCCTTGTTGCTCGGTGAAATCATGTACCGGATTCATCCGTTAATTAAATTTAGAGTTGAACAATTAACTGTTGACGTTTTATTTAATTCTACGACAATATTGAGAAGAATGAATGTATTTGTAAGGGATTTTTCAATATTCTCTAGAGACTTCTGGCAGCCATTCGTGTATGTTCAGAATCTGCAGCGATAATCGTGAAATTCGTTCCCTTTGTTGCTATCTTCTTGCATGTTCACAGACACGCACTCGACTGACACGACGCTAAACGCAGCACGACCCAAGATAAGGAACACCGCGTACCGAGCATCACGATGTCAGTGTACATTTAAATGTAAATTGAAAATATTCCACAGTACATTGAGTCTTATTAAGCGACAGTCGTACTCTCATTATGCACGATAAATTCACTATATACGTGTACGTATGGAGGAAAATAGGAAAGTCTTGAGCAGAAAGCGTTTTAGCGCTTATAGTGAGCAGGCATGGTGTCATCATATCCACATGTAATTCAATAGCAAAAACTGGCACCACATGTGTACTGCCATGTACATCAATTTCAGAGATGGAAATGTCATTTTGGGTGATCATTCCCGAACACAGGTATGATTGGGTGAGCACTCATGAGCACTTGTATTGTTCTTTTTCGAAAATTCGTTTATTACTGTACAATGTACATTACACGAGGATTATTCTTGCTTGTATAGCGTACACGTGGCATACCGTGAAACATAATATTAATCATCTGAATGGGAAAATATTTATTATTAGAAGTGAATGTGTTGATGGTCCCCACTAATACTATAATCAGTGAAGTGTCCTGACCTGTGGTGGTGGTGGTGATGGCACCACTAATATTATAATCAGTGAAGTGTCCTGACCTGTGGTGGAGGTGGTGATGGCACCACTAATATTATAATCAGTGAAGTGCCCTGACCTGTGGTGGTGGTGGTGATGGCACCACTAATATTGTAATCAGTGTAGTGTCCTGACCTGTGGTGGTGGTGGTGATGGTTCCCCATCGGGACGTGGGTCCCGGTGGGTGTTGGCTTCTGCCCCTCAGCCTCACCTCTTCCTCACTCGGCAGTCCCCGGACCTCGATCTCCCCAGCCCCACTCCCCCTGGGGTGACAACGGAAGCAAAAGAATAGTTCCTTGAATTGAATTCATAAAAATGTAAATGAAAAACTTACGATGGAAAATCGTCAAACTATGACGAAAAAATTTAGCCAAACTACAATGATCGCTTTAAATTACGATGAAAAATCAGACAAGAAACATGAGTGAATTTTAGCGAATAACATTTAGGTTCGAACATGAAAATATTTCTAAAGGTTTAGGTAATAAAATGGAATTAAATCATCAAGTTAATTAAATCAAGTTTAAATCATTATATTTATTATTTTATATTCATTTTATATTAATCCTTAAGATTCAACGTAACCAAGGTTTAGAATAGACGACAAATTATGTAGCATCTGCAGCAATATATGTACACTTTTCAATTTAGATTCTATTTCTAAGGTTTCCTGTTTTAGTTCCCTTTGAATTTAAATAAATTCATTAATTAATTGTGCTCTGACATGTAAATGTGCAGACATTGTAACGCTGCCGACAAAGTAAACGATCGAATATTGAATTATTTGTGCGAAATTGTCCACAATAATTGAGCATTCATCACAAGTCTTCAGAATATTTCTTTTTAATAATGATTCCAGTGTTAATGCAGAGAAACTACGAAAATTGTATGAAGTATAATACTTGTGTCAATACTGAATATTAGCACTTGTGTTACCCTGTGTGGCCGATTCGAGTTGATATCGATGCCAAATGCATATGCTTTATAGAAAACTACTGACGTGCGGTTTGCATTCTGGACAAGGGTTCAGTAGTTTTAATTCTGAACACTGATTATCTATTGACTTACGGGTGCCTCTGGCTAGGATACCTTTTGACATATAGGACACAATACTCTGACGAGTGCCTCTGGCTAGGATATCTTTTGACATATAGGACACAATACTCCGATAGGACAAAATACTCCGACGAGTGCCGCTTGCTAGGATACCTTTTGACTTAGACACAATACTCCGACGAGTGCCGCTGGCTAGGATATCTTTTGACATATATGACACAATACTCCCACGATTGCCGCTGACTAGGATAACCTACAGCCGGATCCCGCGAATTATCTATCCAATTAGCTCAAACTGTCCCAGAATGAGGTGCATCTCATATCTTATCTCCAGCGTCAGTGCGTCCACATAATAAATATAATATACTCAATGATAGATTCCTAGTAAATTTTTTGTTGAAGTATTGCTTGCAATTCAGTGGTTCCTGCTTATTCCTCTTAAAAAAATAAATTATTGAGACGTTATTATTACCTTTTTATCTAATCGCAGACTATACGTGAGAAAGATGCTTGTACTGCGGAGGTCGAAGCTGAGATTATCAATGGGACTGATTATCAATAAAGTTTCAAATTTGATGCTCGAATGAACTGAATTATTTTATGTTTAATTAGCGAGAGCTGTTCGTAAGTCATACATGAGACGCCTGGGACTCTGATCTGCAAGACCGGGCTCCGGGACCAGACAACGGGAGGTATGGGGCCGGTCCCATTATGGAACTTAATTACAGATAGTTAAGTATATCTCGAAATTATTAATTGATATTATAATAATCTGGAGCTGTGATCCAGTGAGCATACACTTATTAATGTAGGTAATGTTATTTAATTGAACTAAATCTCTTTGAAATTAGTTTGCGACACCTGGTCTTTAGAGACTATAATAGGACTATATAATTTATATAATATACAAAAATGGGACTATATAATTGGATATATTGGGGAGCCGGCACTCTGCGAATCGTTGAGAATTACAGTTCATGTATAACTTTATATGTAATTGTTTCCGTAACACATGATACATGATTATCAAGGCTCACTTGTAATTAATTGCTCGATAATTCCTTCCTATCGAGTAACTCATGAGAGCAGACCTCCTCATCCTGCTGCTCGCCCTGGTCACCCACGACGTAGGCCTCCGCCAGGAGGCGGTCGTAGCTGGCCTCCCACGGGTCTGCCTCACCGCCCCTGCAGCACCATATATAATATACGGGGTTATACTTATTTTGTATATAATATAAAAAAAGGGAAACAACTAGCATTTTGAGATAATAATTTTTAACACGTTTTAAACAATAAAAATTTTACAAATTCAATGTTTTATTGTTGATGTATTTTTGTTGCTAAAGTATATTTCATGCTCGTACAGATTTTTCTATAGAAATTTTGGGGATAAAACCTAATAAAAATGACAAGCCTTTCCGAGTTTCAAAGAGGCCTAATGAGAAAGAGAAAAAGAGAATGAAACGTAACCACATAAACCTAGCATCAGTAATGTGGACAACACGTGTGTAATTATAAGTAACAACACATGTGTCGATCAGCTGAAGTGTCCGTGCGCAGGTGTTTTAGGTTTCAGTATCGCGTTTGAAACGTCGGCCGCAACATGGCTACATTGAACGTGTCTTCATATTGTTCAAATTAGTCTTTATTTGTGCAGATAAATCTTCATATTGTTCAGATTAGTCTTTATTTGTTCAGATAAGTCTTCATATTGTTCAGATTAATCTCTATTTGTTCAGATAAGTCATCATATTGTTCAGATTAATCTTTATTTGTGCATATTATTCAGATGTTGTTCGATCCAAGATAAATAAGTGAAAAATTTTCCTTATATTTGGTTGATGGGTGTAGTTAAATTTTGAGTAATTATCAAGTAACTCTTATTGAGCATCATTATGTTGTGGGTGGTAATGATTTTCAAGTGCAAGTGGAAAGTGTCATTTGTGCACCAATGTGTTGCAAATTATAGGTGGCAGAGACTTGAAAAAATTATGCAATGTTGAGACGGAAACGATGTAGGCTAATGGTCATCTCTAGCTCAAGTTATGTCAGAGATTTCTGCCTATGATTGACTACAAATTGTAGATTTTGATTTACAAATATAGAATCGGAAACTATTTTAAAATAAGGCAAATATTACTGACTCACCGTATTAAAATTAGTTATTTCTAATCAATAAATTTTTGATAAGGTAGAAAACCGCGGTAACGTTTATATATCTCTGGTATCTATATTTTTATCTGGTAACGCCACGGTCTACGATCGGTGATCCAATGACTACCTATCTGGTAAAGCTAGTACTAACTCGGCTATGAACAGCGCTTGCAATAACTATAATGTACATAATCGTTTTTGCGTCAAGATAGTCTCGTAATGCATACATGTTGTATGCTGAGTCGTTATCCAGGTGCTTTTCTGCGTTTGATTTTTTTTCGTTTTCGTTGTCAGTGTTTTGATGTAAATCATTATTGAATCAGTTGAGTCAGCGAATATCAGAGGCACACGGAAAGACTTGTTTGCAATTTTGTATGAAAAATATAAATGCTCGCTTCACTGAAATAATTTTTCGAATTTTTGTCTGTAACAAAATTTGAGGCCTCTGATTAGCTTATGTTTTACACGGTACGCGGACTTCGTCTCATGACGATCCAGGATTACCGTTACGGGCTAGCATGGAGGTGAGATTCTTGTGCAAGGCGTGGCAATGAATCGTGTCACTCTTCGATTATAATTAGTTGTATATTATGTATTCCTACGCTTTTAATTTTCTAGCAGGACACTCATTTTAAATTGAAATCTCGTTTTTATATATTAAATTATGACATTTTTGTCGAAACTCTTAGTTTTTTCAGATATCTGAAGAGTTTATTCATTGGTAATCACATAGTATCTATACGTGCATTTTTTGTTTGCATCTTATTGTGGAAGCTGAAATTATTTTATTTTATCGATAATTATCTTACCAGGGCTTTGAAATTCATCCTCAACTTGTCATTTCAAAAAAATCTTACTCCCATGAGTCCCATCCATAATTGTCTTCGTTGTAAAAGTATACAGAAATCTATCCTTCAGCAAATTCTCATGTCCAAGATTGTGCACAATGCTAGTCCAACTTTAACTGTGAAATCAATGGTGGAATTGATGGTTAACCTTGACTCAATTGGCGCGTGAGTTTGCTGTGGTTGCCGCAGTTGTTGGGCCGTCGCGTGTGCGCTGGGTTCAGTAGCGGCTGGACCTTCCCAAGAGACGGTCACGCTCGCGTGACCGCGTCGAACCACGCGCAGTTTCGGTGCTGCTCGTGAAGGCAGAACCATTTTTTAAATCAGCATTATTTTTGTGCGCTTATTTATTAAGTAGATATAGTCTAGAGTCAGGGCATCATGTAGGAAAATACAAATTCGGGTATAATGTTTTGAGGCATTTTTCGTGGTATAAATAAATCAAAACCAATATCTATAAAGAAAGTTTTGTTCTAACCAGAAATACGCAACTTTAATACTGCATATATGAAGTTTTTTCGTAAATAAAGCTATACATTGAATGCGAAATAATATAGCTGCCATAAAAGGGTGAGTGTAATGTTTTTTTAGATCGAATTTTTCAAATCTATCCTTTAATAACCTGAACATAAATACGGTTACTAGAACACTCTGATTTAAATAGCAGCAAGAAAATCGATGAATTTTAAATTATGAAACTTTTTAAATCTACTAAACGATGATGACGCAGGAACGCAACGTGCTTAATATGTAATCAAAATGCATGAAACTATAACACACGATAACGAATTGCCAGCTCTTATAGCTTCTAGTTTTAACAAATTTTAACTGAACTCCAAAGAATTCAAGGCTCAAATTTTTTTGATATGTCCTGAAAAGCGCGTTATATCAAAATGATAACGTTGCCATTATACCAAATTGTGATAGTAGTATAATTTAAACTGTTGAACAGCCGATTTCTTAACTATAATGCTATGGGGGAAGGATGTTCGAGAACTTTAACGGAATAACTTCGCTTATTCATCCCTAATTTAATATCTGAAATTCCTGCTACATTGAAATAGCTTTATCATATATTTTACCACTCACCAGTTATATCCATTTTGCGA